CCCCCCAACCATCCCCTGATCCGTGTTGCATATCCCTACCCACAGGGTATACAGGACAACGTTCCTATACACTTCATGCGTGCATGAGTAGGCCTCAATCCAAGACAACGCCAAGACGGCCAAGGTCATCTCTCATGGACATCCCTAATAGCTATACTATACACACTGGAGAAGTCTGCATCTCAACCACCCTTCCTGAAAAGCATGATCAAGGTGAACATAGCGATAAGACGTCAACACTTCCCAACGGCTGCAGATGCTCAAGCAAACATCTCCAAATCAAATTCAAAAATCCAAGAGCGTGCTCATGTCTCTTAACATCCCCCAACCACCACAAAGAGCTGCACAAGGCTCCCTTAACCCTGTATCCTCTCATGTGATGACACAGACCTGACATAGTGCTCATGCGTCTCCAATGGCCCCAAACACCACAAACACCAAGAGATAGAACCACAGAAAGCTTCCCTAACCCAGCACACAGAGCAAATCAGGGCCTACTATCAATCACTGTACGAGAAAGGAGCACAGGTCCGACGTCAATGAATACGCGACCAAGGTAGCACCAGGAAACTGCATATTTGTGTGTGCCACCCGGAGACATTCCAGTCCAGATGGATCACTGCAGCGATTTTTCTTCCCACATAGTTACAAACCCCCTCTGCCCCACCAGTTGTTCCAAGCCTCTGCTTCCCCATCGCCGATTTTGCGGATTTCGCAGGCACTAAGAAGTGCACACCGTTCCGGCATGCGCTCTGGCTGGCGCCGCCAGCCTTCCCGCAACGGTCAATCCCAACCTCTCTGCAACCCACCGGTGTGAACTGGTTGCCTTTCTTCATAGCCTCGGCCGACTACTGGTGGTTTAAGCGGGGTTTCTATACTGCACCGCACGAACAGTAGGTGACAAACAAACACCCCTCCTAAGCTTCTTATTAATAACCTATGCACCTGCTGAAGTGCGTACCCCCAACCACACCCCCTGCCATCGACCTTTGCACATTCGTCTCAAACTGGCGAGGATTCTCCCTCAAGACCTCGGCGGCCTCGTGATTAAGCGGGTCATCGGGATTTGGATCCTGCAGCAAGACAACAACAGAGAAACGCAGACAGAACGAAGCATTCACCCGTGACTCTCTGAACAAAAGGACCCCAGCACTGACACCCACAGTGCAGAAGCAAGGAACCAACAGAGACGGAACCTCCTCCTCGCACGCACAAACACATCCATACTTCAATGTGTTGCACAAAGGGACCTATAGACTTGTAAGGTACCGCAACCACCTATCCCTGAAACTCCCCCTCGTAAATGTTCACCTCTTTCACTGAGCTAACGATACGACAACAATGACAGGCAGGCAGCACAGAGCATGCACAGATGACTCTCCGAATAAAAGGAGCCAAAACGGATGATTACGTACTGGAACACAAAAACACGATCCACTTGGAAATGCAACAGCGATGGCCGCACTAGGTAAACAAAGAACCCACATAGACGAATCTTGTTTCTACAAACCATGTTCTTGACATACATGCTTTCCTGTATTCAAGAGACCCGAACACGTCAAAAATCTTCTCTTAAACTTTGAACCCTTTCTCTGAGCCAGCCCCATCCACACAGGTGAAACAGCTGACTTGAACAACATGGATTCGCAGAAATACCACCCAACAAGATGACCTGTTGCAGCTTTGCTTTCACTGCTCTAGTTCCTTTCCCCATTGTTTGGGGCTAAGCGTCTTTTTTTTTTTTCGGTGCTATGTGCAATGACATACAGAGTTGGAATCTGAGAACTCTGCACTTCTCTCCGAAAATGCTGTTGTCCTGATCATATGTTTACTTCTCTCTCTCTCTCTCTCTCTCTCTCTCTCTCTCTCTCTCTCTCTCTCTCTCTCTCTCTCTCCCCCTCCACCACACACACACACACACACCTCACCTCTCTCTCTCTCTCTCTCTCACACACACACACACACACACACACACACCCACACACACCAGAACCAAAAACACGTGCACAACCACAAGCACACGTTTATTTGGAGGAGCCTTGGCCCACTGCCAAGTTAAAGATGTTATCATCAGCAAGATATCGAAGCATGGAGAACAAACCTCGAGCTACCTTTCATAAGTTTAGCCATTTTCCAAGTGTAGGGCATATGCACTTTGACCAGTTAAGCATGCAACATGACAAACCTCGTGTATATGCAACATGACAAACCTCATGTGCGCAAAACACACCATACATCCGTGAATATCTAACATTTCCCAGCCATTCTCAACTCCATAACTCCTTTGTTCCCTACGCCCAGGCTCGACCATACCACACTCAGCAAATAAGCTCCATTTTTCTTTTCCTTGACAGCAACAAGGCGACTGAAGAAAACGACCCACACTCACCAGGAAGAGAAACTGCAAACCATATATGATTGAATTGACGCTAAGCACTGGCTTCCAGTCCTCCCTCAAGATGTTGAGACAAACATTCCCCTCGAGATCGATGTTCGGATGATACACCTGACACACGCCATATGTTCAGAGCAGAACAAGTCCACCATAGAAACAACAAAAAATCTTCAGCGCGATCGACCATCAGATCATCAAGTGCCATTGGCCATCCTCGTAGTCGAACAACCAACAACAAACAGGACGGTTCCAGTTACTTGGCTCTGTACTTGAACAGGATCCGTTCTGTAGGTCGTACACTTTCCTGTATCGGAGTACACACACGTCTTCACACCTGGCAGATGAGACGAGCCTCGCATCCCTGAGCGAAGAATAAAAAGGAGGGAGAGAGAGAGAGTTCCACACCACTTTCTATCCCACAACTACCTGCGAATAGAATCATAACTTGGCTCTGTGGAGTTTCAACACCTGCAGGAATATAAGACAGAGGCCCCCATCAGCAGAAGTCACAAGTTCCCTCCACTGCCAGGTTAACGGACATGACGGCGCGCAGGCTATGGCGTTGGGTAGAAGCACTTGAACACACAACCGGCGCCTATCTTCGTTAACTTCTCCGTCCTCTGTTGCCTCTGCTGCTGACAAGACTTTTAACCTGCCGGACTTCTAGTAGAATACCTGTAGAATTTTACTTCAATTTATAGAGTTCACCTTTTTTGAGTTTCTTCATTCGAAGGGCGACAGCCTTGAGATATCGTCATTGGGGTGAACGGCCCCAGCTACTTCGGAAAATGTGGGTTTTGCTTCATTTAGTTGCATCATGTGGACTCCAACTTGGGTCCCAGTATTTCAACACAGTTCATGGGTGTGCCAATTTGGATTTTTCCGACAGTTGTGGATTGGTAGAATACGACCCCGACAGTTCTGGATTTTTCTGTAGGTAGTTCTGGATTTTTCCGTAGGTAGACCTGGTTGGCCTCGCCTGGGGAGGCAGTTTGTAAATACTGAAAAGTGACGAGCTGGGCGGCAGAACACGCGAATTTTCAGTGGGAAAGGTCGTTCCAAGGTAGAGGTAGCCTTATTTTCGGTCGGTGCTGATAGCACGTCAGTTGGGCACATCCAGAGCCAGGCAGTTCTCTCACCTCACCCCATCATTTTCAATTACGTTTGGTCCTGCGACGCGGCACACCCAGTGGAAAACAGAATTTATCGGTTACATCTCTGCTCTATCTCAATTTTCAGCAATGCTTCCTTCCAATCAAGCGCATCGGTTCAAATCCATTGTGAGCATGCTAAGTGTGTTGGAATTGGATGATGAAGTCTTTGCTGAAATGTATCACTGGAACCAAATTGTGAGAAAATCAGTATGCCGAACACACGATTAGGCAGTCCAGGCGACCAGGTCATTAACAGCCGGATCACTACACAAGACGAGCCCATGCACTTTGCCCACATTAGTGGGGGAGTCTTATTTGACAAGGTAAGAGGCGATAAAGCAGTAGCAAGTCCATCTGAGAAACAACGAGGACATTGTGTTGCTGGACTTCGTTTCAGCCGCAGAAGGTGGATGATGTGCTGCCTCCGCCTGCAACAGAAAGGAGTATTGTGGATGATGCTGTGACTTGCTGGGAGAGTCAAAGGATGAACAGATTGCAAAATGGAGCAGGAAATGACAATGTTAAAGGTGACAATGTGTGGACATTGTTGGAGCATTGGAGAGCGCCATGTCACGTGCCTTTGCTCGCAAAGGGAAATAAGGGTAGAAAACAGACGAACCCTGACAGCAAATGGGAAGAAAATCTACAGCTCGATATGCAAGGTAAGCACGAGTAATAATTTCCGGAAGATGGGTTGCTTGCATTTACACAGAGAGAGAATGCAACATCGTAGAGACAACTCTCTCTCTCTCTCTCTCTCTCTCTCTCTCTCTGTGTGTGTGTGTGTGTGTGTGTGTGTGTGTGGTGGTGATGGTGGGGGGGGGGGGGGGGAAGTGCCGTGTCTCTGTTTCTCTGATCCGTCCTAACTATAGCTCCACGTGTGTTCACTGATTAGTCTGTATTTGTTTCAGACTGTTTCCCTCATGTGTGTTGTAATATTCGATACACAAAACACCCAAAAAGCAATACCAGTGCAGACTGGTTCGCCTGAGTTTCACAGACTCATTAGGAGAGTGAGCCTTAACAATCTTCCCAGAACGCACTTGACTGACAGATAAGGAGCCATCACTTGGCCAAGAATAAGTGATACATGTGAGAAAAGTAGTAGGTTCTCTCACATATTTACTCGTACCAACCCTGTCCGTGTTTGGTCACGACTCCGCCATGTCAGATGCTTGCATGCAAAGCATCAACTCTGTTTACCTCTGTTTTGCTCTGAGTGTGTTTCAAAAAACATATATTAGGTGGTGGTGAGGATAATCTCTCATCTCAAATCGTTTGGGGGTGCAGAGGAATAGTTTGTTGCTCTTGGAATGAGCAGTGTGTTTCCGCGTCCTCTTTATTTTCTTGTCGACTGCCTGGCTGATGTGCGTCTAACGTTTCTTTTGACCTTGTTGTTATTCACCCGCTCCTTCTGCACATAAGTGTTCTGATCCTGGTAATTGTTTATATTCATTTTTATGTAATTCAGTGTTGCACACCCTGACGGTCGGCGGCCTTTGACTGGTCGGCACCTAGCAGTCGGGGATTGTCGACACCCCGCACCTTTTTTTTTTGAGGGGGGGGGATCCAGAACCCCTAATGACCCCACCCACACCCCCATAGCGGCCACCAATACCCGCATACACCAACCTAACACTCCCGAACCACACCCAACATCCTTATTAACGCCCCCAATATTCCCTATATCACCCTTACACTCCGCCTATACTCCAACCCATACCTGCGTCGCATCACGTGCGCGCGAGCTCCGCTCGCACGGCGCATAACGCACGTATAAGCATGCACGCGCACGTGATGCGACGCACCCCACTAAATAGGGTATATATAAAAATTTGGAGAAGGCTGGCTGAGATAGCCAATGGCGCACCTCCCCACAGAAAAAAACATAGGGCCCACGTATTCCTTTTTAAATAGTCTTTTTCGCGGAGGACCCCAGCAGTTCATATGCAGGGGTCCGAACATCTCAAGAGATGTTCAGCAAAGTTCGTATGAAAGAAGAGCAGGCCAGCAATATATGCTCTGGATCCGAAGTCAGGTCTGCTTTCGAGCAGTTATGGGTTACAAGTTACAACTACTTGTCACCGTAGCTCTCTTTTTCGTTTGTTTCTTTTTCCTACGAGCAGTGGCCCTAAGGGCCTTGCTCCACTCGTCATCAGCACAAAAGACAAAACATATGGCGGCGTATGTGTTCCATGTTCTAGCAGAAGATTCATTCCTCTATTTCTTTTGTTTCTTTTTCCTTCGACAAGTGGCCCTAAGGGCCTTGATTCACTCGTCACCACTTGCACAAAAGACAAAACATATGGCGTCGTACGGTTCCATGTTCTAGCAGAAGATTCATTTTGCACATTTTTAGTGGAGGGAAGCCCTGAATAGCACGTGGTGAGTTGGCCTGCTATTGCCCAGAAACTCGCGTGCTCAGTGGTCCCATAACTGCTGAAACGCGGACCTTAAAGTGAATCAACAGCATATATACTTGGCAGCCATACCTTCAGCATGGCTATGACTACTATCTCGTTCATGGCAACGAGGCCATTCCTGATTGTGTGCAGGGCCCTCTCGGATAACCCGCAGGGGGTTTGAAATAAATATTAATAAGGAGCTATTTGTTTACTTTCTTTTTTTTTTTTTTTTTTTTTGCCCATCGGTGACCAGCACACTTGCGCAGCAGGTATGCTCCAACCCCAACCCCCCATACCCCTCCCCCATCCCAAAAACTCTCCGCGGATTTGGGCTATACTCAGCAAGCGCAGTAAGGCTGCGCAATCAGAAAAAAAAAAAAAGCAGCGGATGCCTGTTTTCTGACTGGTCGGCGGACCACCGACCGGTCAGCCCCGATCCGTCGGGACAAAACGGTCGGCGGTCAGGGTTCGCGGTCGGCGCCGGTGCAACCCTGATGTAATTTAAAAAAAGGGCTTTCAATAAATCCATTTTGATTAATATTTGCCAAAATCGCTAACAAGGAAACCAGACCAGCATGTATAGAATATTGCATAACATACATATAATATTCATGAATATTATATGTATGAACTTAGACACCCCTCTCTCTTCCTCCGTGTGTCGCCTATAATTCTTCCCTTGCTTTCTTTCCCCCTCTGCCCTCTCTCTTCTCTCCTATTCTACAAGAAACGACGTTCGCATCCTCTGCACATCTTTCACTCCCTTATGGTCATTGCCTGCTTTTTCCTCCCTTGTCCTTTAATCTCTTTTCTTTTCCTGCCCGTAACGCATCTGACGGCAATCATCAAGGTGGAGGAAAAAATCAGTATGATGATACTATGATCTCTTCTCTTTCTACCGCTCTCGTTTTACATCCAGGAATGTGCCTCTGTTTGTGCATGTTTCGGGGCATACTCGCACCCGGTTAGCAAAACCAGCAAAATTTGCCAGGCTTCGTAGTCCCAGTTTGCCATTTTTCTGACTTGTGTGGTCACACAGCGAAGTAGGAAAGACAATGTGAAAGGATTCACGCTGCCGACACCCTGTCCCGGTCCCAGGGCCCCAACAAGTCCCAACTCCCAGGGAAGTCCAGTAGGGTAGGCCGTAAGGTCTAGGGGCCAAAACTTCAAAGGTCGGCAGGTGTAGGTACGGAAGCGTCGTAGGTCGGTAAGTCCCAAGTCCCAGGGAAGTCGGCAGGTGTCGGTACCGAAGCGTCATAGGTGGGTACTTGTTAACTCCATCTGCTGTGTCCTTGTTGACATACATATGTAAGGTCTAGAGGCCGAAACATCAAAGGTCAGTAGGTGTCGGTACCGAAGCGTCATAGGTCAGTAGGAGTCCGTCCGGCACCCGACAAGAAAAGTCCAGAAGCGTCCAGTCCAGTCCGACAGTCCCAAGTCCAATTTTGCAGCATGAGCCAGGGAAGTCCGGAAGCTACCGGACCGACAAAATGTTTGCAGCAGACAGGCTGCGGCCAACCGCTACCGGTCTGAAGCACGCCAAGCCAAGCGAGCCCAAGTCCTATATTTAGCTGCTACAGTGCAGCGAGATGCGGAATCGCTGGTGCTGCTTGTGCGTTAAGGCAACTTGGGCACTGCGCGCCTGAAGAAGAAGAGGGCACTCGCAAGTTGCTCCATAGCTAGGTTCGGGGGCAGGCGGCCACACCCGCCAAGGTGTAAGCTTCCCGGAGTGGGTGTATCTAAGGTAGAGAGAGCGAGAGAGAGTGAGGCAGAGTGAGCCAATCAGAGAAACAAGCAAGACTAATAGAGAGGGAGGGCAGAGAGAAGCCATAGCCGATATCTGGTTGAGACCCGTTGTGTCTGTGTGTGCGGCAGAGCCGCTGGAGGCCAACCTTCTTGTATATTGCTATAATAATTTTGGGGAAGACATCTTCATGTCTTGGTTGTATGTCGGTTTGGCTTCTCACGTGTGAACTGTCATGTGCATGTTCATTGATGAATGCGAGGTGGAACCTGACAAGTACTTGGTTCATTTCAAATGCCCCGACACCCTGTCATTTCCGAAATTGTCCACCTGTGTGGTCACACAGCACAGTACGAAACAACATTCCCCCGACGCCCTGCCATTTCCGAAATTGCCCACCTGTCTGGTCACACAGCAAAAGTAGTCGAGGGATGCCTGCAATTCTCTTCTGTGAACCCACAGATTCGAGGAAAAACAAAATTGCCAGCACCTCTAGAGGTGCTGGCAAACTGCACAACCCCACGGCCATTGCAGGTCACTGACATTTGCCACACCAATTGCAAATTTGACGAGTGGGCGGGCAAAGTGCGACTGCAAAACCAATTAACAAATTTAGCAAGCTTCGGAAATTTTCGCAAAAAAAAACCCTAGTCTGAGTAGACCCTCACTTTTCTTTTCCAGAAGACCTATGGACTTTCCTTCTTTTCCGCCTTTTTTCATGGTTCCGTTCACCAGAATAGACGGAAGCTTGCTTTTTTTTTTGCATCTTGCATAGAGTTGATTCCCTCTGGAGCGAAATGTAAGTGTCTTGCTGGCACTTCATCTTCTAGCTCTAGCCTAGCTCCTGTACAGATGCCGCGCTGCTCCAGCAGCCTAGGGTCTGAACCTCCAAACGCTGCGTACCAAAAGTGTGCACGGCCCTGCTATATATAGCAGTGGGACTACTGGATGCAGCTGCAGTCTGCGTTCTGGGCCATCGGATCGTATCCCGGATCGACCGTCTACAATGCAGGCCCAAATCCTGGTTCGGAATCCTTGCCTACTTCAGCTCGCCTGGGTCCCTACCGGACATCCAGGCTCCTCTGCTGAACCAGCACAGGTGGAAAAGTGCGTCAGGCCTGAAATATGGCCACGGGGCCGGAATCGGCCCAGAACGCATGAACGATACCACCAGACTGGAAAACCTGAATCAGACAAGCGAACTGAACCCAGACCAAACAAAACCCAAACAGGAAGGGTGTGGCTGACCCTTCAACATGCCACGCATAGGCTTCCACAAGGTCCCTCGAACGGGCAGAGAGAGAGGGCTTGGGACACGGTATTATACCGTTTCGTCTCCACTCTGCTCCTCAGCAACATCAGCAGCCAGCATGTTGTCCAAGTCCAGAGGCTCCATGGCAACCACACTCTCACAAGCGGAGACTCCTCGCACAAAAACACTTGCATGCAAATGCTGAACGGAGAGTTCCCGTGATTCCTGCATTCTCGGGTGGTTTTGTCCCGACCGAGGAGTTGTGATGTTTACGTCATCAAGATGGCAGCAAGGGATTAGCCATGCTCCATCAACATCGACTGGACTCTGGTTTATACTGATGTTTGCGCAGGGAGGCATGTTTGGTCCATCGGCGAATATCAGACCCCAACACTTGCATGCAAATGCTGAACGGAGAGTTCCCGTGATTCCGGCATTCTCGGGTGGTTTTGTCCCGACCGAGGAGTTGTGATGTTTACGTCATCAAGATGGCAGCAAGGGATTAGTCATGCTCCATCGACATCGACTGGACTCTGGTTTATACTGATGTTTGCGCAGGGAGGCGTGTTTGGTCCATCGACCCCAACAGTTTCGATTTCGAGATTGCATTGGAATATTCAGTGTGTACCTGGCGGTCCCTCCCCGACCGTCTCATATGTCCCAGGTTCTGATTCCCCAGAGAGTCAGGACTACTTCGCTGGAGCTGTAGTTCTGTCATTCTCGGTCATTCTTATGCCTGTCACATAACCAATTTGTACGCGAGGGGTTTAGTTCCTTATACGAACCAGTGGTCATTGTGTTCCGCCTGTGGGATTTTCCTCGCTGCTCGGGTGGGTTTCGGCCGTATTGCCGGGCGCTATGGGCGAGGGCGAATGTTTAGATCTCGTTCTCAGTCAGATCCATCGTTTATTTTTGTCAGTTTTCTCCAAGAGTCCAGTCGTCGATTCTCTTGGTGTAGGTGTAGGTCTGTCCTCAAAAATCCATCTATGCATGTGTGAGAGAGAGGAGTTGGCGGAGGGGGGGCGGGGGGGGGGGGGGGGGGGGGGGGGGGGGAGGGCTCAGCCTGTGCTGTGCCAGCATTTGTTTCTGAATCTGGAGCATAGATGCATCCACATTCAGAACCGAGCTGAAGTGGATGTTGGTCGCAAGGTCGGGCCCAAAATCGCTCGAAGCGTTCAGGTCTGGGCCGCACCGCTTCGGTTTCCCGCAATGCTTCAGTCTTTTTTTTTTAGGGGACAGATCACAAGCCCACACCCTTGACTGGCCCTTCCCACAACGACTTCCCAACCCCCTGCAAAGCCCTGCTGAAAACTGAGACACCCTTCCGACGACCAAGTTGGGCGTGTACCAACGACCCGTATAACCAACTTTGTAAACGCCTTGTCATCCGGACACAACTAGGACACTCAATTTCAGACAATTTCTAAACCTCACATATCTGAGCTTGTTTCCCATCTCTGGTGTGAGCTTCCCTGTGATGAAGCATCACATCAGTTCGATGTGAGATGCTGTGTAAATTGTAGGCACGTAGCAAATTGGTATTGGAACAGTATCTCATTGTCATCTTCAAGGGGTTCGATGGCATATCCGGGAGCAAGGATCATATTAGTGCTGCAAAACATTCATTGAAGCACCAGTCCCAGCCCCAGCCCCTTCCTCGTAAAAACAAACTCAAACTCGGCATACTAGACACAAGAGGAGTACCCGGAAAAAAAAAAAAAAGAGGAGTACCCGGAGCTGCGCTAAATTCCGGATACCCCAACTGTGGCGATTTTCAATTCCGATTTCCAGTGAGGAATATTCTGAAAAAACACAGGTATGCAGATACACTCCCGCTGCATCAGAGGAAGGTAAAGAATAAACAAAGATGGTTTAGGGCAGCTTGCTGCCATCCCAGGCATAGGTCTCGTGGTTTTATACCTTAAATAATTCCATGCACAGGTCCAACGCATAGTACCTGCCGGCTATTCAACAAGCTCTCAAAAAGGGACCCATCTGGAACCAACAGGACGGGCACGACCACCAGTAGTTTCTAACATGTCCAATCGAAGCCATGTTAGTACTATCAACAACATATCACATTCCTCACGGGAAACAGCCCACTTGTCCCAGCCTTCCCAAAACTGCTCACCCAGGAGCCGCACGCTTTCCAAACAGGAACACCATCTGAATGAAGTTAATGCTACCATTCTATTCCATAAAAGCCACTTGAAATTGTCGAGGTTGCTAAAGGTTAAGACTCACCTTGGTCTTACATTTCACCTTCGGGGCCTCATGGGGATATACATGTGGAATCTGGAAGCTGAACACAAAAGTTCCAGATCTGCAAAACCCACCACAGCAAGTGGATCAGCTCACACACAAACAAAGCCGTGATCACCCCTACACCGCAAATAGGTGGTCGAAACATTCGTAGTTGGCATAGAAAGCTACAGCTGGCAAGAAAAAATCAACCAGGAAGGTCCCAATTCACAAACAGACATCATCATCTAGCGTTTTGCATCTCATAACTGTATCGGAGGGCCTGCAGCGGCTTCACGCGCAATAGAACAAGGGTTGGGAAACCTGTAGTGCACCTTTTCTTCACATTCTTGTACCAGGCAATCTGGATTTTCACATCTTTTGCCAAATGCTCTCTCTCTCTCTCTCTCTCTCTCTCTCTCTCTTTTCAACACAAACTTCCAGATATGTATTCTTTAGTTTTCCAGCTCAGTGCATTACTATGAACATAAGAATCAGGTGTCCTACGCATGGATCCTGAACGCAAAGTACTCATCCTATAAGAATGAGAACAACAAACAGAGATACAAGGGTTCAATGACAGACTGTTTCGTTAGACTCTTCCCAACTCATAGGATGCCGAAGCACCGGAAGTCTGCAGACTCCCCATATCTATGCCCAAGTCCTTGCCTACTTGAAGCCCTCTTGCAAGAGGACAGCCAGTCAGGTGAACACACAAGGCAAATGACGTAGCAGAAAAGCAGAGGGCAGATGAGTGGGCGGGCACAGATGCCAACAACAACGGAGCAACCAAGTAGCACCCAGGTACAGGCAGGTATGCAGCCAGGCAGGCAGCAGGCAACCGAGCAAACGAGCAGACGAGGCAAACCGACAAGCAACTGTCAAAATAACGCAAGCAAGTTCCGACCCTCATGAAAGGCGTAACGATCTGGGCGCCGTCTCGGAGAGAGACTCGGTGAAATAGACATGTCTGTGAAGATGCGGACTACCTGCACCTGGACAGAAAGACCCTATGAAGATTTACTGTTCCCTGGGATTGGGTTTGGGCTKTTCCTGCGCAGCTTAGGTGGAAGGCTTAGAAGGTCTTTTTCCGGAAAGACTGGAGCCATTGGGCAAGACAAGGCCGAGAGCGAGCAGGCAGGCAGCGAGCAGGCAAGCAGCCAAAAAAACAGGAACACAACGCAAATGACCAAGCTGCATAGCAACACAAGGCAAGCGGATGTACAAGAAGGCAGGCAAAAAGGCAGGAACACGCTACAAAGGGGCAAGCCGCATAGCAGCACAGGGCACGCGGATGTACAGTCAAGCAACACAGCAGCCCTGACAAGGCAGTGCACACATACAACAAAGACAAAAGCAGACGATCACCTACTGACACCAGACGTAGAACTCCACAGACTGTAGGCTGCTGCCAGCATAAGAGGCGGCCAATCACTGTGGTGAATGTCTGTCATCTCTGCTGAATACACAGGCATCACAAACACAGCAGCCCTCAACATAGTGTTGCAGGCACTTCAAGCAAACAGGCACTGACTATCTGCAAGATTGGAAGGTGTTGCCCTTAGACTCTTGAGGATTAAGACTCCACATCATGGTTTTCACTAGTGCCAAAAGAGCTGGGCCCGCCAATGTCAGCAACGGAATAAAGAGATGGGACTCCACAGAGTGAAATGTTCGAAGCACTTCGAGAAACATCAGCGAGGTATGTGCGACAAGAACTGATTTCTGCATCCCCATTGGCTGTGCGAACGAGACTTCCAGCGCCCACTCAGTAAATCAGCTCTTCCCCAAACACTAATACCTCCTGTTCACATAAAACAAAACTTTGCGCCATGGAATGTGTCAAGGCTGCCACGTCTTTTCCGGCTCACCGGCTATCTGAGCAAAATCCAATGCCTCCACACCTCCCAGAAAAAAAGTGGGGTGCTGTTTCAACAAAAAAGTCCACAAAGCAAGAGTGCAGTCCTAGCCCGAGGAAAAAGGAAAACCAGAGGGCAAAAAGTGCACGAACAAGGAAAACACTCAGAAGTTCAGAACAAGAGGAATAAATGAAGGTATTGATCAGAGGACAACACAGAGAACACACCCCAGAACCACAGCGACGAATTATAGATGAATGTTTGTATGTCTATATGCACAGAGGACAACACAGAAAAAACACCCAGAACCACAGCGACGAATTATAGATGAATGTTTGTATGTCATGTTCGTGCAAGAGTGGAGAACAAGGAAAACCCTTAGAACGAAGCAAACAATCCGAATGATGGGAACAACCCGCATTATGGACGCATGACTATGCTCGACTGTTTCGTCACACTTTCCCCGACTCATCAGGAGGTTGAACCCCAACAGTATGCCCAGGAAGCATTTGACTCATGGATATGGACTGTGGCCATTTGACTAATGGATAAGGACTGTCGCCAGAGTTTCAGCAATACCCCTGAGAAAAGTGGTCCACCTTTTTAACCGCACCAACCCTGCAATCCTAGATTGGAGCCAACCAACTGAGATAGTTGAAGTGCAGCATTGGTAGGGTCTTTAGCCAACACGTGTGTTGCGAGTTTCCACCACAACAGCCCCTATTCCACCCAGACAAGTAGATTCGAGTTGAGCCACCCCAACAACTAAAGAATTCACCTCTTTAGCAAGCAACACGAATCATAATTGAACCATTTTGAATTGTGTTTAGTTGGGGTTTCTTTGGGGCAACAGCTCCTCTTTTACTATACCTCGCACGTGCAAGGGTGCCCACATTGATTGTGGTTGAGCGGCAGCTGCCCACATCTCCGTGTGCCTTAACAGCCCACTTGCACGTTATGTGTGTTTGTTCGTGTGTGTGTGTGTGCGTGTGTGTGTGTGTATTGTCATGTTTGCTATACACAACACCAAAGAAAATCATGACTGTGGCATACCGTTCTGTCGGATTCTTACTGTCATTCTAGTCAGTGGTCTCTTACTGCAATCTTAGGCAGAGATTTGGACCATCCGCTAAAAGTGTGGTGTGCATGCACGTGTGTGTGCATGCAAGCATGTTTGTTTCCGCATGTGTGCAGCCATCAAGCTGACGGCCACATGTCACTGTATGCCCATGCACGCACCAGGCACGGGGCTTTGAGGGCCACAGGTTCGGCCAAAGGGGCCAGATTGTGGGATTGACAGATTGCCTTAAGCACGGACCAATTAGGACCCGTCAAAGGCACAGATTGGAGGCCAATGCAGGACTCCAATAGAGACCATCCAACCAGTAGGACCCCAAGGACCCAAATTCACGATTTTTTTTATTTATTTATTTATTTTAACGCCCAGGTTGTTGTAGAGGCAGGGTATCAGGCGCGAGAACACTCTCCGGGGTTCAGTCACTCAAAGTTCGGAATGACCCACTTGGCCCTCTGGACCTTCCTAAACGGAGTCCTCTACGGGCTTGCCCTAAGTCCTATCGTAAGTCGTGTCCCTTCCACGCCATACAGCTTGCCACCAGAGATCGGATTCTGTCCCTACCGATCCAACTTCAAACTGGATGCATTGTGGGTGCANGTAAGTCGTGTCCCTTCCACGCCATACAGCTTGCCACCAGAGATCGGATTCTGTCCCTACCGATCCAACTTCAAACTGGATGCATTGTGGGTGCACTCTAAGCAGATTTGTCCTCCAACCATTGACTTGGTGGATCCCAAGCCGATCCTCCCTCGGACAGACGTAGAGGGCCTACCTCCCTACTATTAACGTACAGTACAGTCCCCCCCCTGACCCACCTATCCAACCCACTACTCGGGAGACAGGCTCAATACAAGTCCAACCCGAGCTACACTTTATCGGCATCCTCTCTACTAGTCCCTCCATCCGCTATACCGATCTCATAGCCTACCCTTGCTTGGTCCCTGGTGGGCCCAAGGACCCTGATGATGGGGCCATGAGAGTACCCCAATGTCTAAAAACTGCCTAGAAACAACCGGGCAGCTAGGTGGTCCGAATCCATGAGACAAGCATCCACTCGCACTTACTGGTCATCAGGCAGACTAACTACTCGCACTACCCCAGGTCGTATTTCTACCAATGATGCAATTTTCCCACCTACCCATGCAGTCTCCATAGGTGGCCCATGAGGGCACTTTGTATGCGAGTCAACTACTCCCTCCGAACGGTGAACTGCCCATCATGCAACCCGAACCGTTCAGCCCTACCAACCACAAGGTTCCTGTACCCCTCCCCCCACACACAACCCAGAGATGACACAGTCATTTTACCCCCGTGGTTCGAGACACACATGAGGAGGAGCGCACCTAGACATACTACCCTCTGTGCCACTCCCCTCCACTACGAAGCCCCACCTCTAACCGGGAAACCCATGGTACACAGAAGTCTAGAGAAAAGACCTCCCTACGGAGAGGTAGGGAGTAGCAGACCTAGGGTTCTCTGGGCCCGCGTACTGTGCTATAGTCACCTACTTACTATATGCCAGCTAGGTTCAAGCAGGGTCCGAATGGGGGTTCTTCAAAGAACATTCAATACCATGCACAATGCTACTATGAGAAGTTCCTTCAATTCTAGCGGGGTCCATCTATAAGTGCAACCATATATCTGCGACTAGATACCACAGTAAGACCTTCCACAGACAAGATAGCCCTGCGTATTACCCCAAGCGATCGACTAACTCCAGAATGCACAACACAGGTTCGTACAAGCGCCCCTCTGGACTTCCACGAATTGTCCGCCTAGACTCACATAGGTCCAACTGCCTGACGAAACCTTATACAATCCACTTCCACGAATTGTCCGCCTAGACTCACATAGGTCCAACTGCCTGACGAAACCTTCTACAATCCACACACACACACACACACACACACACACACACACACACAC